CGTAGGGTTAGGTGTAGGGTTGGTGTAGGGCAATAGCACATACAGTTTGTACAGTATAAAAACCATTACGGCTATGGAATGTCCCCACAATTCACAAAAACAAATGTGTGTGTTTGTGTGTGTGCGTGTGTGTAGTCTCCGTGACATATGCCCTTTACTATAAAACTCTTTATTCGCACTTTAAAAGTGAATGTGTATATAGATTTGTCAACATTTTGTCTCATTTTTTGTGTTTTGGAATTGGATGTAGTTTGCAATACTTAGAACTTTTCATATTCTGTGAAATGGAACATAATGCAATGCCAGGTTTGTCATCAATTAAGCTTTTTACATTTTTTAGGTATTTGTTTATTTTTAAATCTGTTGGTCATCAGTGTCCATGTGCTCTTTTGTCTTTCCATGTTGTAGATTTAGCCGCTCATCTAGTGTGTTTGATGATCCAGAGTAAGTCTCTTTAACACACTGCTGTAAAAAAAAAACACGCTGGTGGGGGTGCCCGTTTTTCTCCACAGCCTAATGTCTGCATGCGCCAAGCTGTGCATTCATCACTTTGTTTTGGTACACTAACAATGAATTTTTGTGATGTGAAAAAATGTGTAATGTGGCGGTTTCTTGTTTAGTGGGATGCTAATACAATGTAACCACTTATCCACAAATGGTATTTAAAAAGGTAAAGATACACTTAAACTTGTGACCTTTTGATATTTATGTTTTTTGATATTGCATCTGAAAGATGAAGTTATACTTGTATTTATACATACATTTAAGAAATTGAAACTAAACAGTATGTTCTTATGTAATGACAATGTGTTTATTTTACCCGTTGTTAGATAATATCAATTTTGTGGTTGTTTCAAAGTGTCTTCCAGCACATGTACACTTTTGGCCTTCTTTCTTTGGATGCATGGCTTATGTGCAGCACAACCTATCTATTTATAAATGCTCACTTTGACTCACTGGCCGTGCTTTTAACTGGTTGCTTGATAATAATTGCAATTGCCATTCAAAGTTGACTTCTAGTTGACTAAATGTTCTAAATTACCAGTAATTCAATGATCTTAAATCTCTCTATAACAGGAGTGTGAGCATGATTGACATGAGAAGTGAGGAAGACTCTATGTTGCCGCCCCATAGTCAAGTTCGACATGAGCTCATGCACAACCAGTACAACAAGCTGAAAGAGGAAGAAGACCATTGGCAGGATGTAAGTGTATTTCACTACTAGTACTGTTTCCTCTTAGCACCAACATATGGATCAGAATGTGTTTGTAATTTTATGTTTGTGTGTCAGGACTTGGCCAAATGGAAGAGTCGCAGAAGGAGTGTGTCTCAGGATCTGATCAAGAAAGAAGAGGAGAGAAAGATGATGGAGAGACTGTTGGGTGGAGATGGAGGATCACAGAGAAGGAAAAGTATCAAGACGTACAGAGAAATAGTGGAGGAGAAGTATGTCTGCCATTTCCACCTACCCTTTCAACTTTTGTTATTATACTTTTTGTTGCATCCCAACAGTACAGGTGTCACTGGGTCGAGCAAAATCACATAAGCAAAAATTATTATTACTGAATGTCAGTACAGTAGTGATTCCTGTCAGTGGCATTACTGTCAGTGGTGTTACAATAAGTGCTGTTACTGTCAGTGGCATTAAATTAAGTGGTGTTTCGTTAATTGGTGTTACTTTAAATGGTTTTACTGTGAATGCAGTTGATGTCAGTGTTGTTGTTTTTTTTGTTTTTTTGTTTTTCCAGTGACATTACTGCCAATGTTCTTACTGCTAGTGATGTTATTATTATTTCTAATGTAGACGAAAGGGGGAGACTGCCCAAAACCTTCAACAACCTGTGGGGATTATTGTGCCCCATTGGTCACTCACTGTTTGTCCAGGGTATCTCTAACTACAATCAAAGATAGATACCTTGGAGTAACTCTAATCTTTCTTATAAGACACTGTATGAGTGGAGGGATTCATTCAGTTTCTTGCTAAGCAGATAATCCAGAGGTTTATGTTAGGTTTATGTTTCGATTTGAAAACTTTTCCCAAACAGAAACTCATCAAACCTCTCTTAGGCCCATGTGCAGGCCAGTGCCTCCTTTTCTATTTAAGCATATCGCTGCTCCGTGTTACTTAGAGCTCTTAAGGCATACTCCATAGGGTTCCATATTTTGTTTTGTTGCATCTGAAGGAGAACAGTCTCCAACCCATATGAGGCATCAACAAAAACGTTTAATGTCACTGCTATTATATGGTTCCTTCGTGGCCTTCACTACCACCACCTTGTCTGGGTCTGCCCTCACTCCTGATGCCACAATGATTTGTACTAGAAACATGATTTTCTTTTTAGAGAACTCTCATTTATCATTGAGGGTGACCCTGGCCTTCTGAAGTGCCCTATGTGGTTCCCCAGTTGAGCATGTTGTCCATCTGACAAAGAACGCCTTACAGTCCCTTAAGAATCTTTGACAGGGGCTTTTGGAAGTGCATAGACAGTTATAACAGTAGTAATCAAGTTAAGAAGGTGGTGAGTATTCTTTTGAAAGAATCTGCCAGAGGCCTGCATTACCGTGGAGTTCAGAAAACACTTTGGCTCTGGCAAGCTGTCCTAAAGTTTTTTTTTTTTTCACAGAAGGGAGAGGATGTGATTTAACTCATGGAGATTCTCGCCTTGCCCATATGTTTTGGCAACACCAACATGGGTGCACATAATTTAGTTGGCTTTTCCACCTTTGTAATAACCCCATGCTGTTCCATTTGCTTTAATTCTTCCTTCACCTTTAGCACAAGAGGGAGTGAAATATGCCTGGGCACTTACAGAAAAAAAGGTTTTGCCCCTGGCTTTAGCACAGTGTTGTACTCTACTCACGCTCCAGCTCCAGTTTCTAAGGCTAAAAGTAGCCTAATGTTTGTGCAATCTACTGTATTAACTACGTACATCATAAACCCTTCTTTTTAGGCAAGTACCAGATGTGGGTGTGGTGTCATTTCTGTGAATTTCCCTTTTAACTTTAATGACTTTCCTTCTGGCCCCTGGAGGATTCATTCTGTAAGTTTTAGTCTGTTGAACTGGCCCTGATTATACAGCGTTACTGGCACTGCCGTTACATCCACACCATATTGAACTATATTGAACTGTCTATACTGTCTATATACACAGACCTCCTGTCACATTAGCTATCAATGAGTCAAGGAATGTAATGTCATCATTTGCACCCTCAGCTAGTGTGGCAGCATTCACCTCATATACTTTCTTTTTTTTTTGCACACTCTCATCGTGCAAATTTCTGTATCCAGAGTGATTAGCTAGACAATGAAAATCCATTATCTGCAGACTCGCCCACTGCTTGTTGTCACTGAATAAATTTAGCCCTTTCAAAAATCATGTTTATGCTTGCTATGAAGTGATATATTTAGCCTATTTAGCCTCTTTACAGTTTCGTACTCACTCACTTCTTGAGGGCTTCAGTGCAGAGATGTTAGTATAACTTCAGCCTTCTCATCCATCGTGTAAATCAGGCCATTCACTTGATTTTCATCTGGGTGTATCTCCAAGCCTGATGCAATATGAAACCTTTTCAAATATTTTACCTATTTCAGCCAGTCATCCGCTTTGAATGTGAATTTTTCCATTCGAGAAACTTGAAGTTAATTCAGGAGCTGCATGATTGAGCTGTTAGCTTTTCCCGCCAACTGACAGAACAACACAAATCTCAATACTAAACTAAGTTAACAGTTAATTACGTACAAGCTTATCGCAGGAAATTTTATACTTCTGATATCATGCTCTGTTGTCTAATGCTTTATATACAACAGCAAGCTTTGCTGTACTATTATCCATAACTGTAACACAACGACTATATATTTCTGTGTATGCAATGGAACTGAATACTACCGTAGAGAAGCTAATATTAAAAGTACAGATGTCAGTCCTGTTAGTGTCTGTGATGTTACTGTTGGTGGTATTACTGTTTTTTGCAGTCACTATAAGTAATGTTACTGTAAATGGTATTACTGTTAATAGTGTTACTGTCAGTGATGTTGCTGTAAGTGGTATTATTGTCAGTGCTGTTATTGTGAGTGCAGCTACAGTCAGTGGTGATGATGTAAGTGAGTTTTCTGTCGGTGGTGTTACTGTCAGTGATGTTACTGTAAGTGCTATTACGGTCAGTAGTGGTAATAGTTTCTGTCAATGCCCTTACAGTTAGTAATGTAACTGATATTTCTGTTGGTGGTGTTACTGTAAATGGTATTACAGTCAGTAGTAGTGTTACTTTCGGTGCCATTTCTGTCAGTGTCATTACAGTCAGTAATTTGGTGTACTGTAACATACCATTACTGACAAAAGTGTCATAGAAACGGTAGATTATAGTTTCTGTAATCTAGTGGATCTCAATTCGTGAATATATTTTTAGTGTAATTTCTATACTGTTTCTCTTTGTCTACTAGGGAGCGTCGTGAACAGGAGCTGCATGAAGCATACTGGAACGCCCGCACACCAGAGGAAGCAGCTTCGGTGCTGCAGCATTATGCCCAGCGTTTTACCATCAGTGAGGCAATTATTGAGCGCCTCAAACTCCCCAAGCTGCTGGAGAGGAGCGTGTCTGCTGACCCCACTCGTCACTCCTCCCTCCCAGCCTCCCCAGACATCCCCTTTTCTTTGAGTGCTTCCTCAAAACCTCTGCAGTACCTGAGGCAGCAGTCACTTCCCTTGGCCAAATTTACATCCACGGTCGAAGCACGGGTGACGGGATACAGCACAGAGCATGAATTTGTGGGAGATGTGACAGCACCCTCGCTGGGTCCGAAACCTTACAGCAGTGCTACTGCTGAAATGAGAACAGCTAAGGTTCAACCAGCTCAACATTTCTCCTTGCAGAGTTTACTTTTTAAGAGGTTTTATAACTGATACAAATATCTATAGCTTAGGTATAAAAATAGATTTTTTTTATGCAAGTAAAAATCTAATTCTCTCGAGCTATCCACATTAATTTTGTAGTTTTAAATCTCAAACTGCATTTATGTCGGTAAATGCCTCATTTATATTCCCTTTAAGAGAAATCTAAGTTTATATTTAAATTGTACATTACTAGGAGCTAATATCCTGGATAATTTAGTGCTGTAGGAATATTCTCTGTTCATCTCCTAAGAGAAGTGTAGTGTTTTCAGAAAGCATCAACAGTAGCAGATGTTGCCCTCTGGTGGCTGGAATGAGTTAAAGTGGGCATGTGTTGAATGGGTGCTAGTGTTCAGTAGGTATGTGGTGTGTGTTTGTGAATGGGTTCTTTCTATGTGAAGTGCTCCATACAAGGACAAAAACACTCACAGAGAGCAAATCAGCTGAAACACACACACGCTGTCTAGCACAGTACACATAGCTAGGTTTTAGAATGGAATGGAATGGAATAGAATATAACAGAATAAAATATAATATAATAGGTCAGTGCTAGTATTAGTTGGACTTAAGTGACATGACATGTGGCCAAGTATGGTTAGCCATACTCGGAATTAGTGCTCTGCATTTAACCCATCCTAAGTGCACACACACAGCAGTGAACACACACACACACCGTGAACACCGTGAACACACACCCGGAGCAGTGGGCAGCCATTTATGCTGCATTTTTTAGGCTGCATTTTTTGGGAAGCTGAATTGCACATTAGGACTAACTAGGACATAACATTAAGACTTTTAGAGAATATATATTTGTAGAACAGAGAATGTATTTTTATGAAGTGACATTTTTCATAACGTTTTTGTATATATCAAACATAAATCTAGAAAAATAAAATGGGGCTTATGCTTAAAACAAGAAAAAATGGCAACTTGTTAAAAAAATAATTTTAAGTATATTCTCTAGTAGCAAATCTGCACAGTAATTGTATGTTATACTGGCTCGTACGCTAATCGTCTTTGACTTTAGTACACCTAGCAGTGTGGCTGTAACATCACACCAAAGTGTCAAAGCAACTTTACAGTATTAAATAGGAAAAATAGTGTGTAATAATGCAAAATAGTAAACAGTTCAAATAGTATCTGTGCATTCAAGTTGATGATATCGCTGGAAATTGAGTGTCCCCAACTAAGCAAGCCAGAGACGACAGTGGCAAGGAACCAAATCTTCATTGGTGACAGAAATGGAGATAAAAAAACCTTAGGAGAACCAGGCTCAGTCGGGGGGCCAGTTCTCCTCTGGCCTCCTCTGACGTATGCCATTGTAGAAATGCATTATATGCAGTCAGCCTTAATTTATTTATTTAAATTAAAATATCTGTCATATGTCTATGAAAATATAGACAACATCAATATTAAGTGAGTAGAATTAGCTTGGTCATGTGCTCTCAACATAGTAGTCATCAGTTGATCCAATTCATTCATCAGGTGATTCGTAAAATAAATTAGGCTACTGATATGACTGGAGTTACCAACTCATATTTGTGAATATGATTTAAAATGAAAGTACTACTTATATTGCTCTACGTAAAAAAAAATTAAAATTGATCCTTTATTATCATATACAGCTTTGCTTCTCAAGTAAATATGCCTTGTTTTAAAGATGTTTACAAGAATATGAGACAAAAAAAACTGATTAAGAAAATATATGTCTACTCTGAATGTTGAATCTCTCTCTCACTCAGGTGGATGAAATAATGCGTGTGAATGGAGAAAGGGAGGATTCCGGCCATAGCAATAAGAAGGGAGTACCACAGAAAAGCAAACAGGCAGAAGATGATTCTCTGCAGTTTTTCCCATCTTCTTACCAGCACACAGACTCAGACATCACAGATACTGATGTGTCGGGGGTCCAGCCCACGGACCACACACTCTCTTCCATGTGCACACAAGAGTGCTGCGAGAAAGACAAAGATACCACAGAGGTAAGTATGTGCTGTGACCCATACAAGCAAAATAATGTGAAAAAAGAATCCAGCACTACTTACTGTATGATGGAGGGAACTTTAATACTTTAAAAGTACCAACGCATTTGTATTCCCTTAAATCATAACTAGTGATGGATTCTTTTTTCACATTTTTGTACATGTTTTTTTCCAAGCACCTTGTGAAGAGGTAAAGTTGCTCCAGATCCCATCTCATCAACCCATACAAGCAAAAGAATGGAGAGTTTACACTAAGTATAGCAGTTGAGTGGATTCTTATCATTCAAGAAGTCTGTCTGTTGCACAGGTTGAAGGTGGGACAGTCCCACAGGTTGGTGATGTCACTATATCCCCAGAAGTGTTGGAGCTAAAAGCTGAAAAGACAGGTTGGTTAGCTTTTATTTGATAAATGTCCCAGCTCATTTTACAAAAGACACATTTTTCTTCATATTGGTGTTTAAATTCTAAAAATGGAAATGGCTCATGTTCCTGTGTAGATCAAGAGCAGACAGATGAGACATATATGAGTGACTCTCAACAGGACATGATTCAGTTTGACAACTCTGCTGTGCAGGTTAGTCTATAGCGATCTGTATTGTATTTGTGCTTGTATAAAAACACAGGCAAAAATACTATATACAAATATAATGATTATTAAAAGAATGAAATATATTTGTTATATTTATTTGACCATTACTTTTTTTTTTGATTTGGTTGTAGGTAAATAAACTAGCAACTGAGATCCCACAGGAATCAACAAATCAATCAGAACCATCCAACCTAGAATCATACAGAACCAAACCAGGTGAGTGGTATTCAAAATTTGTTTTAGCCAACAGTAACCATAAGAGTAACATCTTGGTGTTCACTTCTCCCATTAGATATATACAATTTAAACCCACTGAATTGGTCCACAGGTTCATCAGAGTCTGGATACATTTTTTTTCTTAATATTTCTTCTTACATTTTACACTTTATATTCCTTTATATATAGATCCTATAGAATCTATCTATCTATATATCCATCCATCCATCCATCCATCCATCTATCTCTCCATATTAATAAAATGAATAATTCATGAAATCACTGAAAGTGCATGTTTTAAAAATGGCATGTTTCATTTTCCAGATATGGCAGAAAAAAATGGAAATGTAAGTAAAGAAATTTAATCTATTCATCTCTTTCTCCTCTTTCCTCATCCTTTAGGCTTTTTGTAGTTTTCTTTCTCTTTTTTTCTGGCTGTTTCTCATCTGGTATTTTTTATTATTTTTCTACAAAGAGATTCTTTTGAATTACCACTAGTAAAGTGATTGTACAAATCTTCCTGAATCATATGCTGGATTTTTTTAATGCTAAATGGTGTAAAACAGTAAGGGTCAGTAAAGGTCCAGAAGGGTCCCATTCAGATTTTGTTATGTGACACTATATGCTTCTGTAGAAACCACAAGCTTGATTTTTATTTGTAAAAGAAATTGCTTACTTGACAAACCACCATTTAAATGCTGCACTAACCATAATCCTGAAACAAGATCCATTCAGAGTCACTGTTACCATGGAAACAGGAACTGGAATGGTGAGTTTTTGAACGCAAGAATTAGTTAATATGTTATATTGAATCATTTTCATCATGTTCAGTGGCTCATGGGAGTTGTTCATTCATTCCATCATAATGTTTTCACCTTTTTAAACTATTTTAAATAGGCAACCACCCACAGCTTTTGCATACACAAGCACCACTTACATTTTTGGAAAATATAAGCACGATATCTGTTGTCAGAATTAAACTAAATTAAACTAATTAAATAAATAAGAAAAATAAAAACAGAATATTCTATACCAGATGGTAAAGCAGCAGAAATTCCCCATTTTTTCTTGTCTTTTCACATTCATCTTCTCCAGTAGAACAGGTAATAACAACTACTTCAGGGTTATAGATCAACTGTCTCTCTATCCACTCCCCTCCTCACTGTTTTTGGTGTTGTCTGGTGCATCCTCATACGCCGCATTTGCGTGTTGCTGCATAATATTGCGGACGGTACGGTTAGGTCCCTCCCCCAGTGCTGAATCTGGTGAAGCGGGGTGAACACATTTCTTGGGACCCTGAGGAAGAGCGCAAGCGTCAGGAGAGGTGGCAGCAAGATCAGGAACGCATGCTTCAGGTACAATGGCTTGAATAACCAGAGCCTACTTGAGCCAGCACTGAGAATCGGGCAAGCTTCAAGTGCACAACCTGAGCATGCTTAGGCTTCATAGATCAACCAGACTGTAGACTAACCAGGCATTTAGCATATTATGCAAGTTGCTTAAGCATATAAGAAATAATTCACCTAAAATTGAAAATTCTGTCATTAGAATGTCCAGGCTGCTTTTTTCAATGCAATGAAAGTGGATAAGACCAAGGACAAGCAGCTTGGATAGTCTACAAGATAACTCATTTAGTGTTCTTTTCAAGAAAGAACATTTGGAATGTTGTGAAAGTGAGTAAATGATGACAGCATTTTCATTTTTGGCTGAACTATCCCTTTATGTTCCATGATTAAGTTTTCCATTTCCTTAAAATTGACTAGATATTATCAGATGATCTGCTGACTCAAAATAGTTTGATAAGATGAGAGGATGCATGTTTTAGCTGTTATAACCCACACTTGGCTGTTGCCTGTTTTTCAACCTTGCACAACTAGACTAAAGCTAATCTGCATCAATATACAGTGACTCCAAAAAGTATTTGGGCACTTAAAGGGATAGTTCACCCAAAAATGAAAATTCTGTAATCATTATCTCAGAAATTTTTTGTTCTCATAACCAAACCTTTTTGTTTTTCTGTTTTCTGTGAAAGATATTTTTGAAGAACGCTGGAGTTCAAACATCATTGGACCCCACTAAATTTAATGAATTAAATAGACTAAATCCAGAAGAACTGTGACAACGTCTACAAAACACGTCCTACAAAGCTACCTGAAAACCTATATGTGCAAGTCTGCCTAGGATAAAAAGCTGTTTTAAACACAAAAGGAGGTGACACTAAATGTTGATTTAGTTAATAGAAATTAAATGACAAATAAAATCTATTTATGACATTATTTTTGAAAGCATCCTCACTTTACAGCATTTTTACACAAGTGCCTAAAACTTTTCACGGTATTAGCTTTGTAGGAAGATTTCTTCAAATGTCCTGGAGACGTTGTCACAGTTCTTCTAGATTTAGTGTATTTCAGTTTTTTTCTGTTCCGTCATGTAATTCCAGACAGACTGGATGATGATGAGATCAGATCTCTGTGTGGAGCACTGGCTGTTGTCAGAGAGAGAGAGAGAGAGAGAGAGAGAGAGAGAGAGAGAGAATTTTCTTTGTTGGTTGAACTGCTCATGTTAATTCCACTGGCATTTAAGAGTGACTTAAATGTTGAAATCATTTTTGATAGTTCTAAGAAGCTAATCTTGGATCAGTTTTGAATATGTTTGCACAATTTAGCAACTAAAATTCTTAAGAAATATTGTTTATTCGTCATAGGCAGTAAAAACACAAACCATAACATGAACCCAGCATTATACACGAGTCCCTTCTGAAGATAAAGACACCCCTGCTTGTGCGAGTGTGTGTATGTGGGAAAGTGTTTGCTTATTTGAGAAAATAGATTTTCACGGCATGTAAAGTTATTTAATGGTACATCCACACAGACATTTGTATTTATTTTATTTATTTATTTTTGGTTTGTTCCAAACTGTCAAAGTTTACCACTTGGAAAAGATTGTGCCTTTAAAATGTTATAACTTTCAGCTGCCAAGCTTGCCTTTCTTTAAATGTATTTTTCAAATTTCAAGCACCTCACCATGACTATTAAAGAGCCATTTGGAGCTGCCATGTGCTAGAGTTTCTCTTAAAGGCATTTGTTAGTTTCTGACCATCGTAATTCTGATGGTATGCTCCTTTATCATTCTGTCAACATTAAAATGAATGAAATGCATGTGTGTGATCACAGGAGAAATATCAGCGTGAACAGGAGAAGTTAAAGCAAGAATGGGAGCAAGCTCAGAAGGAAGTGGAAGAGGAGGAAAGGCGGTACCATGAGGAGGTGAATTTTCTCTCTTTACTGACCTTGTAGTTTCAGTTTCCCAATGACTTGTATAGTTAGAATGTTTACTACCATTCAAAATGTAGCTGATACCACTGACACCATTGTGAAATTTACATACTAAATGTATTGTTTTTTTTTAACTTAAACTTATTTACATAATTATTTATGACTGGTCTTTTATAGCCACCTGTACACTGAAAAGATTGATTTATTTGATTCTTATGCACAGTCTAAATTTAGCATTATTTTTTAGCATCACTGCCTAAGCTGGCACTAGTATTTTTCTTGTGGAAATGCAAATCTACTTTGACATTATTACTTTGCATTAGACAGTATGAATTTGTGAAAATCAGCCTGATGAAAGTCAAAGACAGCGATGCCGTCTACATTTAAATTCCATTTGTGTTTGTAGTGTGTAGTTATGGCCTGACTTGAAACATGCATTTATCATATGCTTCATATGAAACTCAAAAACAGATTTAATTATTAAAATCTTGGACAGATTTGGTTCATATTACTAATTAAGCTGACTGTTGAAGATGACAAATAACTGAATCTCAATATCTGGTGTGCTATTAATGCACACATAAACGATTACAATATGCATCGTATCGTGACCCTGGTGAAACAATATGTTGATGGAGCCATGGCAGTGTCCCATGACAGTAAGAAAATATAATAGTTATAAGGGTGGGGGGGGGGGGGGGGGGGGGTTCCTTGACATAAAATCTATTTATGACATTATTTTTGACAGCATTCTCATTTTACAGCATTTTTACACAAGTGCCTAATACTTTTAACAGTACTGTAGCTTTGCAGGTAGGTTTCTTGAAACATCTTGGAGACGTTGCTACAGTTCTTCTGGATTTAGTCTGTCTCAGTTTGTTCTGTTTCTTCATGTCATTCCAGACTGACTGGATGATGATGAGATCAGATCTCTGTGTGGAGCACTGGCTGTTGTCAGACTACTTCTGCATACAAAAATCTCACTGGATTATTACAATTAATGGCTGAAGGAATGTTTGGAAATGTAAATTGATATTTCCTACTGACACACTACAGCAGGGGTGCCCAAACTCGGTCCTGGAGGGCCGGTGTCCTGAAGAATTTAGCTCCAACCCCAATTAAACACACCTGAACCAGCTAATCAAGCTCTTACTAGGCATAC